CCAGCCTCGCCCCCTCCCCACCTGAGCGCGTCCAGCATGGGCAGCAGGTTGAGCAGGGCCGTGTCCCCGGGGTCGCTGAACCACGACTTGATGGGGATGGCGTTGTCTGGGGGGGAAATTTGGGGGAGTTTTGGGGGTCCCCAGAAGGATTTTGGGGGTCCCCAGGGGGTTTGAGATGGATTTGGGGGGGATTTGGGGGGAATTTGGGGGTCCCCAAAAGATTTTGGGGGAATTTTGGGGGAATTTCGGGGCCATTTTTGGGAATTTCGGGATGGGGATTTTTGGGATAATTCCAGGATATTTTGGGAATATTTTGGGGATGTTTTGGGGATATTTTGGGGATATTTTGGGGATATTTTGGGAATATTTTGGGGCTATTTTGGGGATATTTTGGGGCTATTTTGGGGATATTTTGGGGATATTTTGGGGATATTTTAGGGATATTTTGGGGATGTTTTGGGAATATTTTGGGAACATTTTGGGGATATTTTGGGGATATTTTGGGAACATTTTGGGAATATTTTGGGAATATTTTGGGGATATTTTAGGGATATTTTGGGGATATTTTGGGAATATTTTAGGGATATTTTAGGGATATTTTGGGAATGTTTTGGGAATATTTTGGGAACATTTTGGGGATGTTTTGGGTACCTGGATGGCTGCGGTAGGCCCCGGGGGAGTTGTCCAGGATGACGATGCTGGACAGGTCGCTGTGCACCACCGACAGGTCCTTGATGTAACTGCCCAGCTCCAGCGTGCAGTGCTGGGGGCGGGGCCACGTCAGGGACACGCCCACCGGAAGTGGGACACGCCCATCGGAAATGGGACCCGCCCACCGGAGATGGGACCCGCCCACCGGAGATGGGACATGCCCATCAACCACAGGACACGCCCACCGGGTTTGGGGCACGCCCACCGGGTTTGGGACACGCCCACTGACCACAGGACGTGCCCACCGGGGATTGGACACGCCCACCGGGGATTGGACACGCCCACCGGAAATGGGACACGCCCACCGGAAGTGGGACACGCCCACCGGAATCGGGGCTCGCACACCGAAAATGGGACACGCCCACCGGAAATGGGACACACCCACCGGAAGTGGGGCACGCCCCCAATCACAGGACACACCCACTGGGACTGGGACACGCCCACAGACACACCCATGGACACGCCCAACACACCTGTCCAGGTGTTCCTCACCTGTCACCTGTGTCACCCCTCACACACACCTGTCCCTCACCTGTCACACCTGTCCAGGTGTTCCTGAGCTGTGTCACACCTGTCCCTCACCTGTGTCACCTGTCCAGGTGTTCCTCACCTGTCTCACACCTGTCCAGGTGTATCTCACCTGTCACACCTGTCCCTCACCTGTGTCACCTGTCCAGGTGTATCTCATCTCACACCTGTCCAGGTGTTCCTCACCTGTCACACCTGTCCCTCACCTGTGTCACCTGTCCAGGTGTTCCTCACCTGTCACACCTGTCCATCACCTGTGTCACCTGTCCAGGTGTTCCTGAGCTGGCTGTGACCTGTCCCACCTGTCCAGGTGTATCTCTCACACACACAGGTGTATCTCTCACACACACAGGTGTATCTCTCACCTGTCCAGGTGTATCTCACACACACAGGTGTATCTCACACACACACAGGTGTATCTCTCACCTGTCCAGCTGTATCTCACACACACACAGGTGTATCTCTCACCTGTCCAGGTGTATCTCACACACACAGGTGTATCTCTCACACACAGGTGTGTCTCTCACCTGTCCAGGTGTATCTCTCACACACACAGGTGTATCTCACACACACAGGTGTGTCTCTCACCTGTCCAGGTGTATCTCACACACACAGGTGTATCTCACACACACAGGTGTATCTCACACACACACAGGTGTGTCTCTCACCTGTCCAGGTGTATCTCTCACCTGTCCAGGTGTATCTCACCTGTCGGTAGTAGCGCCGGCCCAGGATGCAGCGGTTGTTGTCACACACCTGTATCACACCCCTCACACACACAGGTGTATCTCACACACACAGGTGTATCTCTCACCTGTCCAGGTGTATCTCACACACACAGGTGTATCTCACACACACAGGTGTGTCTCTCACCTGTCCAGGTGTATCTCACACACACAGGTGTGTCTCTCACCTGTCCAGGTGTATCTCACACACACAGGTGTATCTCACACCTGTCCAGGTGTATCTCACACACACACAGGTGTATCTCACACACACAGGTGTATCTCTCACCTGTCCAGGTGTATCTCTCACACACAGGTGTATCTCACACCTGTCCAGGTGTATCTCTCACACACACAGGTGTATCTCTCACCTGTCCAGGTGTATCTCACACACACACAGGTGTATCTCACACACACAGGTGTCTCTCACCTGTCCAGGTGTATCTCACACACACACAGGTGTATCTCTCACCTGTCCAGGTGTATCTCACACACACAGGTGTATCTCACACCTGTCCAGGTGTATCTCTCACCTGTCGGCAGTAGCGCCGGCCCAGGATGCAGCGGTTGTTGTCACACACATCACACACACCCCTCACACCTGTCCAGGTGTATCACACCTGTCACACCTGTCCAGGTGTATCTCACCTGTCGGTAGTAGCGCCGGCCCAGGATGCAGCGGTTGTTGTCCAGCCGATCGGCCACGGCACAGCCGTAGATCTCCATGCTGGCTGTGAACACAACCAGCTCGTACCACTGGGAAACCTGGGACAAACAACGGGAATAAACACCTGGATAAACAACGGGAATAAACAACGGGAACACCGGGAATAAACACCGGGAACACCGGGAATAAACACCGGGAATGGCAGGATAAACACCCGGATAAACACCCGGATAAACACCGGGATCACTGTGAACACAACCAGCTCGTACCACTGGGACACCTGGGGGATAAACAACGGGAATGAACACCCGGATAAACAACGGGAATGGCGGGAATAAACACCGGGAACACCGGGAATAAACACCGGGAACACCGGGATAAACGGGAATGGCGGGAATAAACACCGGGATCACTGTGAACACAACCAGCTCGTACCACTGGGAAACCTGCGGGATAAACAACGGGAATAAACACCGGGAATGGCAGATAAATACCCGGATAAACACCAGGAACACCAGGAATAAACACCGGGAACACCGGGAATAAACACCGGGAACACCGGGAATAAACACCGGGAATGGCAGGATAAACACCCGGATAAACACCCGGATAAACACCCGGATAAACACCGGGATCACTGTGAACACAACCAGCTCGTACCACTGGGACACCTGGGGGATAAACAACGGGAATGAACACCCGGATAAACAACGGGAATGGCGGGAATAAACACCGGGAACACCGGGAATAAACACCGGGAATGAACACCCGGATAAACGGGAATGGCGGGAATAAACACCGGGATCACTGTGAACACAACCAGCTCGTACCACTGGGAAACCTGGGGGAACAACGGGAATAAACACCGGGAACACCGGGAATAAACACCGGGAATGGCAGATAAACACCCGGATAAACACCGGGATAAACACCAGGAATAAACACCGGGATAAACACCGGGAATAAACACCGGGATCACTGTGAACACAACCAGCTCGTACCACTGCGACACCTGGGATAAACACCGGGAATAAACAACGGGAACGGCAGATAAACACCGGGAACACTGGGAATAAACAACGGGAATGGTGGGATAAACACCCGGATAAACACCGGGATAAACACCGGGATAAACACCGGGATAAACACCGGGATAAACACCAGGAATGAACACCGGGAACACCGGGAATAAACAACGGGAATGAACACTGGGAATAAACACCAGGAAAACCAGGAATAAACACCGGGAATGAACAACGGGAATGAACACCGGGAATGAACACCGGGAATGGCGGGAATAAACAATGGGAATAAACAATGGGTGTTTGGGGTGAATTTGGAGTTTTTGGGGTGAATTTGGGGGTTTTTGGGGTGAATTTGGGGGTTTTTGGGGTGAATTTGGGGTTTTTGGGGTGAATTTGGATTTTTAGGGGTGAATTTTGGGTTTTTTTGGGGTGAATTTGGGTGTTTTTGGGGTGAATTTGGGGGTTTTGGGGTTCACTCACCACCTCCAGGAAGAAATCCACGTGCGGCCGCTTGTGCACGAAGAACCTCACGGGGTGTTTGTCAATGACCACCTGCGAAGGACCCCCAGAATCAACACCGGGACCCCCAAAAACCCCCAAAACAACCCCAAAAACCCCCAAAAACAACCCCAAAAACCCCCAAAACAACCCCAAAAACCCCCAAAAACAACCCCAAAAACCCCAAAAAACCCCGAAATCTGCCCTGGGAACTCCAAAATCAACCCCAGGACCCCCAAAATCAACCCCAGGACCCCTAAAAAAACACC